AAGTATTAAGCACCGTTTCTTCTACTCAAATAACCTTCTTTTCTTTCATATATAATGGAGTATTCGAAATTACAAGTAAATAGTGAGCAACCAGCAACTCAAGTCAGCTTACTTTGAACTCAAGAACCCAATAATGGTGAGGCCTTATTCCATAGGTTGAGAAGTTCTTTAACGCGTTTCATCAAACAAATTTTGTGCGTCATCTGGATATGGAAGTAAAATCAAAGCTAAGGTTTTTGATGTATGAGTTGGTGTGAACAATAAACCAACCTACTTCTCTCATCTCCCAATTTTCAACTTCTACATAGCACGAAGCTAAGGACATGTTTGTTTGATCCCCAAGGATTAAGGTCGCCAATCACATGAAACACAATATGTGTTCATCTCGACTGTTGTTGAAGGAGAGAGGAAGAAATAAAGTGGAGGAACGTTATGCAATCCCACATCAGTAGCAAACAAGCAGCTCGGGTTGGTAACTTATACAAAAGAAGATGGGGGAGAATAGGTTTAAGCATCTTTGCACTTGGGGTTATGTCCAGCTTGAATCGAGCTTCAATCGAGCTCGAGCCTTGAGTTTTAATCGAGCTCTTAAATTTTTTTTGAGTTCGAGCCTTTTCGAGTTCGAGTCGAGTTTCAATATTATATTTCGAGTTCGAGTCAAGCTTGATAATTTTAAGCTCACAAGTTTTCGAGTGGAGTCGAGCTGACTTTGAAAGTTTTCAAGTTCGAGTCGAGCTCAACAATACTCAAGCTCGACTCGGCTCGTTTACACCCCTAGGTAGGGTCTCCAACGTTTATGTTCGTGTTCGTGTTCGTTTATGTTCGTGTACGTTTATGTTCGTGTTCGTTTATGTTCGTTTATTTATTAATTGAACGAACATGAACAATTTATATTCCTTAATAAACAAACACAAAATTTGTTCGTTTATGTTCATGTTCGTTTATTTATTAAATGAACGAACATGAAAATACCTCCGTTCGTGTGCGTTCGGTTCGTTTACAGGCCTACCAACCAGCCATAGATAGAGTACGAGCTGCCGAACAACTAAGTCGAGCTCGCATCTTATCTAGAATGAAGTCATAGTCATAATATTTTGCTCTTCTTTGCGAGACCAGAATACTGAGATATTTCCCAAGACAATCAACAACTTGAAAACCAAAGTAAATCCCCAATCTCAGTCCGAAGAGAATGATCAATTTTTGGAGAGAAATAGATGTTGGTCTTCCTTGCAATAACGCGATGGCCAAAAGCACTACCGACAATATTGAGGATGTCCTTAATGTTTCGAGCATGAGTCATATTAACTCGAGAATAAAAGATAAGATCATCTGCAAAAAATAGATGTGAAAGTAGAGTATCATTCTTCACAAAGCGAAAAGGCTCCCAAACCTTCCAGGAAACAGACTGATTTATCAGATGTCCTAGATATTCCATGGCAAGAACGAATAGGTAAGGCGAAAAAGGGTTGCCTTGACGAATACCTCTATCTGGAAAAAGGGACTGAGTTAGGCCACCGTTCCATTGAACCTGGAGCCTAGAAGAAGTAACACCATCCATAATGATACAAATACTCGAGGGAAAACCAGCATTGAGAAGGGAATCTATAATAAAGTTCCGGTTGAGTTTATCGAACGCCTTCTCTAAATCAACCATGATGACCATCCACCCCTTTTTTGCCTGGACCGATCTCTTTGAATGAACCCCTTCCTGATTAACAATTATGTTTTACATGATAGAACGGCCATATATGAAATTGGTTTGATTATTAACAATAAGCAACGGAAACAAAGGCTTGAGACGACGTACAATGACCTTCGAAAGTAATTTGTAGAGGATCGTGCATAAGTTGATGGTTCGAAAGTCCGTGAAAGTCTCAGGATCATCTTTCTTTGGAATAAGAACTAAGTTCTATTCAGAAGCCTCTCAATCAACGATCCCTTGAAAATGCCTTGAATCATACTACACATAGAGGAACCAACAATACTACAATGTTTTTGGAAGAACTCAACATGTAAACCATCCCCTCCCGGAGAATTAAGAGGGGCCATCTCTATGAGGGACACATGGATTTTTTCATCAAGAGTCGGAACCTTATCAAGGGATTGTATGAGAATAGGGTCAATGGTAGGGAAAGCACCTGAGATCGGGAATTGCTTTGCGTCACTTCTGTCATGAGAAAAGAGGCTCGAAAAGAAAGCCATTGCAACCTCTTGAAGAGTATGGTCGTCACTACACTATTCCCCATCATTGATTTTCAAAGAAGTGATTCTATTTCTCTGTTTTCTTCTAATGGCTCAACGGTGGAAGTACCTAGTATTTTTGTCGCCATAAGAAATCCAATCAGACTGAGACTTCTGGCACCAAATAAGTTACTCTTTATCAAGTAAATTCTTAAGCTCAATCATAAGGTCAGCTTCAAGATTATAGAGGAAACTAGAAGAACGTGTATGGAGCATTTTTTGGGTTCCTCTAATACGGACCCTTAGCATGCGTTTTTTAGTGCCGATGAAGCCAAATATTGTTTTATTCCAATCCTCTGCAGCCTTAGCAAATTAGGTAACAATGTCCGTCATACAAGAAGAAAAGTGTCAATTTGTCGTGACCATTCTAATAAAACGTTCATGCGTACACCATGTGGAAACGTAGTGAAAATGACTATAATGATTTCTCATCGATGAGTGCCCAACTTCCAGAAGAATCGGGCAATGGTCAGAACGCATATGAAGGGGATGACGAACCAACGAGTCAGTATGAGCTTCATCCCAATAAGAGTTACAAATGAAACGATCCAACTTGGCGTGAGCGAGACCTTGGAACCAAGTGAAATCGGGTCCCTTGTAACCCATGTCTGTCAAGCTATAGTCAAAGAAAAGATTTCGGAGAGCCCAGCTAGGAGTAGAAGAGGGAACACAACCCCTCCTATCAGAGTCAGTAACCGTCACATTGAAGTCTTCGAAAAGTATCCAAGAAGATTGAATAGAGGCCACAAGGCGTCGCATGTAAGGCCATAAAAGTTTATGTCCCGAGACCGATGAGCTAGCGTAAACAGTAGTAGCATAGATGACATTACCACAGAGGATGCATCTGATACAACAATGCATATTCCCCCACAGAAACCCATCGCTTCAACACAGTGAAAGTTAGGGAAGCAATAACAAAATCATCTTTTTGCTCACTAATGCGGGGTTCAACAAATACAACATCCTATTTATGGTCACGAAGAAATTGTTTGGCGGCAAGAAGAAATCTCACGTGCCAACAACCAGGCACATTCCAAGACATGATTTTAAATTCATTAAACAATAAGCATGAGGAAAGGGGTACGATGTTTATTTAACCATTGACACAGTATGATCACCTCCTAACTTGAGGTTGGCATCATTCGAGAGAGAAGCCAAAGGCGCCTCTTGGGAGATAGAAGAGATATGTTTATTTATAGGCAATTTATAGCTCCAATCAGCTGGAATAGGTGGGCCACTTACGCGCTGATTCTGGGGCTTTGGTAAAGATTGACCAATCGCCACGGGATTCAAAGAGGTATTCGAATCCACATTTTCATCGAGCACAACAACAGTATGCTTAGAGACATCAATGAGGGTTGATTGATGAGCTTTTGGAGCCAAATGGGAGCTGTGAACTTTGCTTTGGGGACGAGATAACACAAGGAAATTTGTAAGAGTTGTAACAAGGGGTTTTCGAATATTAAAATTATTGGGAGCATTAGTTGTCGTGGCAGTCCCTTCTATTGGGTCACAACCGGGTAGGTATGCCAAGGCCAACCATGTATAGGGCCTAGTGGCAGGGTAGAATAAGCTTGTCCTCTTTTCAAGCATTTCAATGTTTTAGGTAGGAAGTGAGGGTATGACTTACTGTCCCCTGTTCGAGCATTTCAACATCTATAGGTATCATTTCTGTTATTTTGTTTTCGCATATATATAGGGGGTAGACAGCAGTAGAGTTTGGGCTGATCCACAGGTAAAGGTATGTGTCTTGTGAACACCATCGAGGGCCGCCCCTACGGCCTAATCGATGGTGTGGGTGAGTCTTTTATAACCCGATGTTTCTTTTTATTAATAAAACATTTTTCCCTCGGAGAAGTCCAGGGGTTGAGATGTGCATCTGTTATGCCCCACGGGCTCAGATTTTTGGTCGAATGACCATGTGGCTACTAAGATCTAACGTGTTGATTGTTTCTGTTTGATCAAATATACGAGATAAAGGATGACTTTGTTGGGAAGCGTCCCTTTCGAGTACCACACGAATTAGCAACCGAACCAACAAGGCTAAGTCTGTGACACTTGGTATCAGAGCATAGAGGTGGGTGATCATTTCCTAGAAGCATGAATGTGCTCATTTTGTTGAGTAAAGCATGATAGTGCTTGTTTCCTGCTTGTTGCACAGTGGTGCTCAAGTACTAAACCCAACACAGAGGTGCTTGGCTATAGATCGTAGCACGAAGGTGCTCGGTCATTTGTAAAAGCACAGAGGTGCTTGATTTTAGATTGTAGCACCGAGGTGCTCAATCATCCTAATGTACAGAGGTGCCAGATTTTAGACTGAAGCACAGAGGTGCTCAGTCCTTTTTAACTGCACAGAGGTGTCAGTTCTCGGTTGAGGCACAGAGGTGCTCAATCAATCTTAGCTACACAGAGGTGTCAGCTCCTGGCTGCAGCACAGAGGTGCTCAGTCATTTTTAACTGTACAGAGGTGTAAGTTCTCAATTGAAGCACGAAGGTGCTCAATCACTTTTATCTACAAAGAGGTGTCAGCTCTCGATTGAAGTACAGAGGTGCTCAATCGTTCATTCAAGCACAGAGGTGCTATGAATTCAGCACAGCGGTGCTCTTTTCCTTCTTAATTTAGGCACGATTGTGCTTATTTGTGTTGCAGACATAGAGGTGCCAACGAGTTACAAAGAATGGTTCGCACATGAAATGGTGGAGCAACAAGCTCTCATAGAGGTGAAGAGCAAGAAGCTACTGAGCCGATTATACTGAGAATGTTTCGCACACGAAATGGTAGATCGACAAGCTCTCACAGAGGTGTAGAGCAGGAAGCTACCGAGCCGATTGTACAAGATACTGGTTCGGTTGATCGACGGAAGCTAGAAGAGATCGAAGCCGCGCTAGCGGCCCTTAGAGCTCATGTGATCTCTGGTGACCGTATGAGGAGAGTCAAGGAGACCCAAGAGGATTTGCTCAAGACAGTGACTGATTTGGGCAACGAGGCAAGAAATGCCATACGCGTTATATAACTTTGGTACGATGAGCTGAAGGCTCAAGTCAGTGTGCTTCAAGCAGCTGTAGCGAGTTTGACCATAAACCCTATTGAAAGAGTAGGCGTACGAGCCAAGATCCCCGATCACCAACGCTTTGATGGAGCGAGGGATGCTAAAGAGCTTAAGAATTTCTTGTTTGGCATAGAGCAGTATTTTCGGGCCATACGCACAGAGTCTGAGGAAGATAAGGTAGCGATGACGTCGATGTATCTAGGTGGTGACACGAACTTATGGTGGCGATCCAAGTTCAAGGATGGTGTGTGCTCCATTACGACTTGGGATGCGTTGAAGAAGGAGTTGAAGACCTCCTTCCTCCCCGAGAATGTAGATTACAACGCTCGTAAGAAGTTGAGGGAATTGTCCCATACAGGGACTATACGGGAGTATGTGAGAGAGTTCTCAACTTTGATGTTGGATATAAAGGATATGTCTAAAAGAGATAAGTTGTTTCATTTCCTTGAAGAGCTCAAGCCATGGGCTAGACTCGAGCTACAGAGACAAAATGTGCAAGATCTGAAAGTAGCGATAGCTGATTCTAAGTGCCTTAATGATTACAACGATCATCCTGAAAAGCGCAAGACGCCTTCTACAAGTGGAGCTAACACCCAACAGATTAGTGTGAACAAGTTGGCTCGAGGGGAGAAGACATCGAGTAGGGGAGCAAATAGAAGATTCCCTGGAAGGGACCCAGCTCAAAATAGAGTCCCTACTTGTTCTGGATCAAGAAATGGAGGGAATAAACCCTTATTGAGGTGTTTTATTTGCAATGGACCTCATCGGGTTACAGAGTGTCCACAATAAAGTGCTTTTAATGCCATGGTGGCAACAACAAAGGACATAAAACGAGCGAACGCTCCCACGGGAGATAACGAGCCTGAGCCAGCTAGAATGGGCTTCATCTGATTTATAACTACCTTACAGTCTCAGTTGAGTAACTTGAGGAAAGTGCCAGAGAGGGGATTGATGTTTGTGGACATCTCAACAAATGGGAAAATCTCTAAAGCTCTAGTCGACACGGGAGCCACAGATACACTTATCTCTCCAGAGAAAGCTAAGAGATATGAGTTGATTATCACCAATGAGGTGGGACAAATGAAAGCAGTTAACCCCGCTGCTTCAACGATATGTGGAGGTGTGAAGAGGGTCAGTATCAAACTTGGGTCTTGGGAAGGAAGTGTAGATTTCACTGTTTCCTACATGGATGATTTTGACGTGATCTTAGTGCTCAATTTTATGATGGCAGCCCAAGTACTTCCTATCCCAGCATCAAGTTGTTTAATGTTCATGGGGGAGCAGCCATGTGTGGTACCAGCTACGATTCTCCCTCATCCTGGGAAGAAGATATTGTCCGCTATCCAATTTAAGAAAGGGGTGAAAAAGGGGAAGCCTTCCTTCTTAGTCTTCCCAATTTCCAAAGAGGATGCCAATCCTGGTACGTTGCCCAAGAATGTTCAAGAAGTGTTGAGAGACTTTGAGGATGTAATGCTAGATGAATTGCCGAAAGAGTTGCCTCCTAGACGGTCGGTGGACCATGAGATTGAATTAATCCCGAGAGTAAAACCTCTTGCGAAGTTCTCGTATCGGATGAGTCCTCCAAAGTTGGCAGAGTTGAGGAAACAATTGGATGAGTTGCTCCAAGCAGGATTTATTCGACCCTCGAAGTCACCTTTCGGGGCACCTGTGTTGTTCCAGAGAAAACATGATGGGAGTTTGAGATTGTGTGTGGATTATAGAGCATTAAACAAAGTGACTGTCAGGAATAAATACCTCATTCTGTTGATTGCAGATTTGTTCAACAAACTGAACAATGATAAGTATTTCACGAAGTTGGATCTCAGATCGAGATACCGTCAAGTGAGAGTAGCCAAAGGGGATGAGCCAAAAACGACATGTGTAACTCGGTATGGGGCATTTGAATTTTTTGTTATGCCTTTTGGACTAACCAATGCTCCTGCTACTTTTTGTACTTTGATGAACCAGGTGTTCCATGACTATCTCGACAAATTCGTAGTCATCTATTTAGATGATATAATGATCTTTAGCACTTCTATGGAAGAGCACCATGAGCATCTTCGATTGGTGCTGACGAGATTGCGGTAAAATCAGTTGTTTGTGAAGAAGGAGAAATGTGCTTTCGCCCAAACACAAGTCCAATTCTTAGGCCACATCATTGAGAAAGGGCACATTCGTATGGATAAGGAGAAAGTGAAGGCTATCCAGGAATGGCCGACCCCACAAAATGTTAGTGAGCTCAGATCTTTCCTCGGTTTGGCCAATTATTACAGACGATTCATGGAAGGGAATTCTCGTAGAGTAAAATTACTCATTAATTTGCTGAAGAAAGGTTGTGAGTGGGTTTGGTCCAAAGATTGTCAAGAGGCCTTTGATGATTTAAAGAAGGTGGTAAGCAGCAAACCAGTACTTATCTTTTCGGACCTAGAAAAACCTCTAGAAGTAGAGACAGATGCATCCGACTATGCAATTGGAGGGTACTCTTACAGGACAGACATACCGTGGCGTTTGAGAGTAGGAAGCTAAATAAAACTGAAGCGAGGTATACGGCTCCCGAGAAAGAACTTCTAGCAGTAATTCATTGTTTAAGGATTTGGAGGCATTATTTGGTGGGTTCCAAATTTTTGGTAAAGACCAATAATACAGTTGTTAGCCACTTCTTGACACAACCGAAATTGACAACAAAGCAAGCTAGATGACAGAAGTTCCTGACCGAATTTGACTTTAGCTTTGAGCATAAGGCGGGGAAAAAGAATCAGGTCGTTGATACATTGAGTCGCAGGGCAAATTTGGTAGCACTCCGATGTGTGGCTCCTATATCCGATGGTAGAGTTTCCAATGAAATTTGTCAGCTCATTGTGAACTTTTCCAAGCAAGATCCGCAAGTGATGGCCCTCATGGAGATGGTTAAAAAGGGTATTTCGAAATGTTTCTGGATATAAAATGGCTTATTGATGACAAAGGGGTCACGAATGTTTATTCCTCGAGCTGGGAATCTGCGACATAAGCTGTTGAAGAAATGTCATGATACCCCTTGGGTTGGGTATCCCGGTTGGAGGCATACTGTTGCTTTGTTGGGACAAGGGTATTATTGGCCTCAAATACGCCAAGATATGATGGATTACACCAAGACATGTCTTATCTGTCAACAAGATAAGGTAGATCGACAGAGGACTGTCGGGTTGCTCGAGCCACTACCAGTACCCTCTCGACCTTGGGAGAATATCTCATTGGATTTTATATCACGCTTGCCTCGAGTAGGAGATCTTGGATCAATTCTGGTGGTGGTGGATAGGTTCTCGAAGTATGCCACTTTTATACCGGCATCGAAGTATTGTTCGGCGGAAGAGACTACTAGGTTGGTGTTTAAACACATGGTGAAATATTGGGGCATTCCTCAAAGCATAGTCAGTGACCGTGATGGAAGATTTATTGGAAAATTTTGGAAGGGGTTGTTCCAGTTAGTAGGGACACAACTCAACTTTTCGTCGAGTTACCACCCTCAAACAGATGGACAGACTGAGCGATTTAATAGGCTCTTGGAGGAGTATCTGAGGCACTTCATTCAGGCTAATCAGAAGAATTGGCTTCCATTATTGGATGTGGCACAGTTATGTTTTAATTCACAAAAGAGTTGGTGCTAGTCAAGTTGATACCAGAACAACTTAGATTTTTGCGCCAGAGGGATCGTCGCTTGGTACGAAAGTATGAGGGTTCAGTCTCGATAGTAGCAAAGGTGGGGAATCCTTCGTACAAAATTGACCCTCTTACTTGGATGAGAGTTCACCCTATCTTCTATGTGAGTAATTTAAAGCCGTTTCACACTGATCCCAATGTCGCCAATCAGAGTATGCCTGCTAGAGAGTCGATTGGTACACAACCACCCTCACAATGTCATATTGATGAGATTCTTGCAGGGAGAATTGTTAAGGTGGGCGGAAAGAAAAGACGGGAGTATCTAGTCAAGTGGGGAGGCCTTGATCAGGAAGAGAACACTTGGGAAAGAGAGTATAATCTCAGGGAGTTCAAGCAGAAGATTGAAGAGTTCCAGACCATACAGTCGACGAGGACGTCGACAAATTAGGTGGGGGAGATTGTCGTGGCCGTCCTTTCTATTGGGTCACAACCGGGTAGGTATGACAAGGCCAACCATGTATAGGGCCTAGTGGCAAGGTAGAATAAGCTTGTCCTCTTTTCAAGCATTTCAATGTTTTAGGTAGGGAGTGGGGGTATGACTTACTGTCCCCTGTTCGAGCATTTCAACATCTATAGGTAGCATTTTTTTATTTTGTTTTCGCATATATATATAGGGGGTGGACAGCCGGCAGAATTTGGGTTAATCCACAGGTAAAGGTATGTGTCTTATGAACTCCATCGAGGGCCGCCCCTACGTCCTAATCGATGGTGTGGGTGAGTCTTCTGTAACCCGATGTTTCTTTTTATTAATAAAATATTTTCCCTCAGAGAAGTCCGGGGGTTGAGGTATGCATGCACTATGCCCCACGGGCTTGGATTTTTGGTCGAAGGACCATATGGCTACCAAGATCTAACGTGTTGTTGGTTTCTGTTTGATCATATATACGAGATAAAGGCTAACTTGGTTGGGAAGCGTCCCTTTCGAGTGTCACACGGATTAGCAACCGAACCAACTAGGCTAAGTCCGTGACACATTGGTCACGGAGGAAGCCTTGCCCTTTTTCTTAAGCTTAGGTCTAGCCTGGCCAGTGTGTTTCTGCTGCTAGTTCTGTTTAATACCCGATGGGGCTGCTTCATTAATCTCATCTAGGGCGCCTTTGCTTTCTAAATAAAACATCAGATTAAAACGTGAAACTTGAAACACCTTACCAGCAGAATGGCTTGGTATTGGATCTGTTTTTCTCGTAGCTCGACGTTGTCTTCTCTCTACGACCATCCATGGTCCAAAGGGGCTATCACTAGGAGCAAGGTTGCTAGCAGGAGGTTCATGAGCACCATGGGAGGGAGGCAATCCAAAACGTCGGTAATCTAACAATACCTAAGGAAAGGGAGGTAATGACATTCTCGGTAATATACCCTAAAATATTCACTATTGGTAATGTAAGATTACCGGGAATAACATTCCCTGCCAACCAAACGGGAGAATGTGGATTCCATTCCCATGAGAATCTCACATTCCCCCAACCAAACACACCCTCAAGGTAGTATAACCAATTTTACGTCCCAAAAAGTTTAACCACCACTATTTGGGCGAAGCTTTTTTGGGCAAGGGACATGATGCGTTCAGAGAAATCAATAGAAAGTACGCATCGATCAAGTCATGGACAACATCCCACTCTTCAAATTCAATGTCATCATCGTCCATTATTTCTTCCGATTTAGGCGGAAGGGAATTGTTCTCCTTCATGAGAGTCTTTATAGGATGGAACAGCAGGTTTCGAGACGTCAAGAGAGATAGACGTGCCAACAGTCCCACCCTGATCTAGTGGGTCATCGTCGATCCTCCTATGCTTCCTTGGATTTAGAGGAAAGACGGTACCGTCAGGAGAAGGAGCGGACATACTAGGTTTTGATTTTTTTTCTTAATAGGCCACAAATTTTTCTCATTATTATAAGTCATCATCTTCCTATTTAACGTTAATTGATTTTTTTTATTCTTTTCTTTAATTTATACTATACGATTTCTATTTTTTTCTATTTTCACTATGTAATAAATTCCTTCAATTTATTTATACTTTTTTTTAGTTCTGATTCTTGCTTAATTGTATTTTTCCTTTTTATTATATTTAACTTCTATTTCAATGCCATGCATGTATTATTATTATTATTGTTGTTGTTGTTGTTGTTGTTGCTACTGCTTTTACGATTTTTTATTATGTATTTACTCTCTGTGTGAATTTTAAATTTTGCCTTTTTTTTAAATTAATTATTTCGTTTAAATCAAATTATTGATCATTTATATTGGTATGTGTGAACCTTTTACCTCATGTTTGCATATTAAATCCAAGTTTTTTTTCATATTCTTAAACCCTTAATTTATTTTATTTTACAATAACTAATCCTCAAAGGTAAGCGGTTCAGATCAATTATTTAAATTCTTATATAAAACTTTAATTTTTGCAATTATGACAATCGAGTAATCGAGTGGTACCGAAAAGTCGGTGTGGGGTGCTCATTCTTTCATGCACGTAAACGACTCCCGAATCCGACACATTTCTGGTAAGACGTAGACCCATTAAACGGTAAATAGGTGATGATTCACCTAACTCGAAAGTGATCAGTGGCGACTCTATCACAATTCCAAGTCGAAACTCGAATCTGATAGAGTCGCCACTGATCACTTCTCGAAGCCCGTGGTGAAATTTATGAAAAATTTGAATTGTTTCCTTATATGCTTTGAAGTTAGTTGAGGGCTGAAGATAAACTTCGAAAAAATCATGTCTTGTAGGAGTGGGTATACTACCGGATATGGTGAAGAAGCTAGCAAGGATTTACGGCTGCCAAGTTGGAAAATTACCTTTCTCGTACTTATGTATCCCACTTGGAGCTGATCCCAGAAAAGTACGTATGTGGGATCCTATTGTAAAAAGATTCTAGGTGAAACTATCGAGTTGGAAGAGCAGAACGTTATCGTTTGCAGGAAGGGTGGTGCTTATAAATTCTATTATGTCAGCATTAGCTCTTTACTTTATGTCGCTATTCGAGATTCCAATAACTATGTTAAATAGAATCGACAAAATTAGAAGAGCATTCATTTGGGGGAGTACCATTGAAAAAAGAAGGTTATCTAGAGTGAGTTGGAGTTGAGTTTGCTTACCTCAGAATTTTGGAGGAGCGGGGGTCATTAATATTCGGGCAAAGAATAGGGCTTTACTAGCGAAATGGAGATGGCGGTACATGATTGAAAGTTCATCCCTTTGGAGGTAGGTGATTTAATCCAAGTACGGAATACTTCTTCGAAGTTGGTATTTAAATTTGTCAAAACAGAGGAAATCATCGATTTGTTTGGAAAGGAATTGTGAGTAACTGGAGAAGCGAGGACATATCTAAATGGATGAATTTAGAGAATTTTCATTGGCAGCTAGGCAATGAAAATTAGACCTTGTTCTGGG